AACAAATGTTCTGTTAGAGTTAATGTGGTTTAATTAGAAGAACATAAACAGTGAATCTCACAGAAAGACTCAGCCTGCGCGCGCAGTGACGTGCTCCTGTCACAGCAGTCTCTCATCAGGAGGAGAAAGAGTTTAGTCCCTCACACAGAGTTGGACAGATCTGTTTGATAACGACGCTCTGAACACATATTTAATAAAAAAAAAGTTAGGTTTTACAGACCAAAGTCTCTGGTAGTTCAGGAACAAAGTGCAGGAGGAGATGTCAGGACTGATCGCTGCAGCCTCTGCTCGAGTCGAGCCGCTGCTTCAACCAAACATGCTCTCACTGAAAGTCCCGCCCTGCTCTGCTCTGATTAGATAAAACGGCTCTGGACTTCATCTGATTTGCTGAAGGCAGTGTCTGTTTAATCCTTATATCAGGGTCTTGCTGTCCCGAGGCTTGGTGAGCACCGAACTGGTCGCACTCTAGAGCCCTGCTAGCGGTTGTTTTGTCAGACAATCTCAGGTACAATCTTAGGTACGCAAGTGAGCTTTATGACGTTDMATCTGGTGCGCTTTTTCCTTTTTTATCGCGTATGCGCACCGCTTATGTGCAACTCTGTTCATAACTGAAACAGTCCTGAAAAGGTAACAAAAAACCAGATACACACACCTTTGTCTGGAAGCAGAACACTGTGACTGCAATGCACACGACAGCAGTGATCCCAAGAGCCAGAAAGACTGCTTTAGTGTCGTAGTAACTGAAAACAAATGGAAAACAAAATTATACAAAATGTGACTTTTTTTTAATTCTATTGTTTCTTTTTGTTTGTTTTTACCTGGATATAGTCCCAGTCATGTAGGACAAAGCCAGAGTCTGAAAAAAGAAGACAAACTTTGATATTATTTACGTACGGGGTTCCTACAGCTTAAGGCAAGTTAAATCTAAGATTTTTTTAATACTTTAATGTCAAGGCCTTATTTTTGGATTGCAAAATTCAATGCCTTTTAGGACTTTTTAAGGATCTGCGAGAACCCTGTACATAATTTACAACTGCAATTTTAAAAATAATGTTCAAACAAAAACAGGTGAGAAAAAAAAAGAAGGCTTTACTTTTGGCACAGAGGAAAATAAACACTGAGCTTTTAAAGGGGCAATATCATGTAAAATCAACTTTTTTGAGTTTTATATCATGTTATAATGTTATACACTCATTCAAAACATGCCCAAAGCCTTGCTCTGACTCATTCATGCATGTTTGAGAAATCCTGCAGTGTTTTTAGGCAGCCATGCTGAGGAYCAAAACGACAGGTGGGGACCAGAAACGCCCCTGGGACGTGTCTTTAAGCCGAACTTCCTAATAGCAGAGCGCACCCCCCCCCCGGTACACACACACACACACACACCCCGCCCATGACTCCTGCAGGCTCTCAGGTGAAATTGAAAGTGAAACCCGACTGCTGAGCTCTCAACATTAGTTCTCACTCAGTGAAGCTCTTTTCAAATTCAAAATACCTTTGAGGAAATGTATTTTCAGATGCCAAGTAAACTGCATCATAGCGCACGGGCGAAGCGCTACCCCCTCCCCCCACCAACCGAACGGGACGGAACAGAAGCAGAAGGAGGTTCTTTGAGACAGACCAATTTCAAGGCGTTAAGAAGAGGAAGTGATGAGAAGATAAGTTTATTTTTCTATTTAAACATAAAAACAGCATTTTAATAACCGCTAAAGGTGACATAGATACTTTATTATGGTYTAGTATTTAAATGTATGCCTGAGAAACACATAATATAGGCCCTATAAAGTATCTTTCTATTAGAAATTAGTAAACTAAATTTGTGACTGAATATTTACTCCCACAGCAAAACACCTTCAAATATCACTGTTTGGTAAAGTTCAGGAAAACCTGTTTTGGGTTTGATTTAATACTTTAAATGGTTAGCTTAGCTTCGTTTAAATCTCCACATTGAACCTTTAAAACATGACTTCAACAAGAAGTCTGACTGTATCCAGAGGCAAAGGTTCACTGTTGTGCTGCTGGAGCTGATAAAAGATAACATATCAAAATACCAACATGTTCAATTCTTTATGCAAACAGTTGGTCAGGAGTGTGATGACTCATTGCTCAGTGCTAATAGTTGTCTAACTTTAAAACCCCGCTAATCACAGCTACTTGAATTCTCCACCTAGAAAATGACAGTATATTCATTCCAGTCCAGGAAATATCAATTTCCTGATTCTCCAGACAGCTGCAGGAAGTTTTACTTACAAAAAGGAGAAGCAGAATAAGGTTCCATGGGAACTTCCTCCTAGAAAACAAACAAGACAAAAAAAAAACCAGTGTTTTACTCAGTATACTGTAAATATTTAGGCCTAGAATTRCCTGAAGGATGTATATCGAGTGCTGCCTTTCATGGAAGAGTTTCAAACTAAAATCATCTCTTGCAAAATCACAAAATGTCATTTTCAGAGCATGTGTTGAGGAAGACTCTCAGGTACATCAGGTTTTAGCTCAATATTGTGTTAACTATGATTGATTAGCTGTGGTGGTCATCTTGAATCAGATAGACTCAAAGTTAAATCCGTTCTAGACGAACATGTGGGGATTTATTTTTGCGAGTTTAATTAAAATCTGTTCAGAGGAACTGGAGATACTTTGGTAAAAGACATATCTGTGCACTCACACACACAAAGGCAAGCACGTTATTGCTTGCCTTCACCTCGCAGTAACAAATGGTAACACTGATACTCGTGTTAAAAAGTATTAGTACACACTCACCGTGGGCCCTTACAGCACACCAGCACCATGTGGGTGACGAAGTAGATGGCGCTWAAATACAAAACACAAACATTAATGTAGAATTTTCCATTTGAGCTGATTTGTTTGTCGATTTTAATGCAGTGAAGTTAAATACAAAGTGAAACTCACTATGATGCCCAGTACACAGCTGGGTTTTTACGTACGAATGATTTGACAGGATCTCTGTGGAGAAACAGAAACAGATCAACTCAAGCCTCGACACTTCCCACTGTGTTTTTCTTATTTATGAAAGTGTATCCCATTCTAACGAGAAACCCTTTAATAGTCATAATGAACTCACGCAAACGTAAATATGGCCACGAAGGCTGTGGTGACGAGCAGCTGAGACGCCAGAATCATGTAGACCTGGAAAACACAGACAGGTATTAAACACATGGAAACTGAAMGTGAGAAATTAACCAGAGAACTGTTAAACCAGCCTGCTGTCATTTTAAAACAAAGAAAAACAATAAATATTTGGTAGATAAGGGAAAAATACCTAAAATCTGATCAGATTTCCACAAAAGGTTAAAGTTATGATTTTGTATCAGCAATATTTGCATACAGATAATTCAAAAGTCATTAAATTATTAGTTATTTTTGTGAAAACTAATGTAATAACTTTCCTTTTGGTTTGTTTCCACAGAAAGTACGTATCATTGTTTTTTAAAAGTTACTCTTAACATTTAGGCAACACTGGTTCATTCATCAAACTCGACAATGAATGATTTATAGGTTTGTGTTTGTGGCTTCAGAAATAAACTAATTATTSATGTGGAAATGTTCAGAAACAAACAAGTGGTTTGTTAATAAGTAAAGAAAAACTGTCAATGTTCCAGGTCTTTACCACAACCATATTCAAGAGAGTTGAAAAAAGACCTTCAATCAAACAAACTAACTGAAATCTAACACACAAAATATTCATGATTTTAGCTTACTTTAAAATAGCCACCATATACAAATATCCTATTCAAAACAATATTAGAWATACAATAAAGACAAGAATTAGAGACCATTTCCTAAATGTTGCTGTTAACTCCTGGTCCTATTTTAAAACTATCCTGCACCTGATGCTAACTTCCTTATTCATTTGACAAACTATTTAACAGGCAGTCTGACATTCCAGTTTGCACTGATTTTGCAGTTTAAAAACAGCCTGAAGCCCTTTGACAACAGTTAGTCTAGATGAAGGAAAAAAGGGACAAACTTTTTAGCCATTGCAAGAAAAGCTGGTCATTCCAAGAATATTACATCTTTACAAGATCAAAAAATCATTCAAGACTCCCAAGAAGGCCAGTCATCCACAAAAGACAAGTATAAGACAGGATATAATAATAATACGACCAATGGGCAATCAGTTCAGCACTYCAGCTGCAGTAGCTCATCAGTTCAGCACTTAACAGGGTTAGGATCTAGTGCAGGGATAATCTATTACGGTCCTCGAGGTCTGCAGCCCTTCATGTTTTACTTGTTTCTCTGCTCCAACACACTTGATTTGAATGAATAGATGATTATCAGGCTTCTGCAGAACTTGGTAGAGTTCAATGACTGAATCAGGTGTGTTGGAGTAGGGAAAAAAGTAAAACATGCAGGGCTGCGGACCTCAAGGACCATAAGTGATGACCCCTCTAGTGTCTGAACTGAAAGATCAGTCTGCAGCAACCAAACCTGTCATCAGCAGAAACAAATCAAAAGGCTAACCTTTGCTTAGGAGCATATTGTGTGGACAGAGGAGAAAAGGTCCAAAATTCCACTTCAGTGATAAAAGCCAATTTATTTTATTTGGGCCTAATGGGAAGTATTACATTGTTAAATTTGGCGAAAGACAGAGCCTAAAGCATACAGTCAGTGAGAGGTGGGGGGGAGTTTTACAGTTTAGGGCAGTGGTTCCCAACCCTGGTCCTCAAGTACCCCTATCCAGCYTGTTTTACTTGTTTCCCTGCTCTTCAGCAGGTCTTCAGAAGATTGTTAATCACTCATTCATTCAAACAGGTGTGTCAGACCAGGGAAACATCTAAAAATCACTGCTTTAAATGTTGACCAACACCTCAAGAGCTTCTCTGAGTTTGATGAGACATTTTCAAAATTTAATATTAACTTAGTTTTATGTTTTTTAGTGTTGCCTCTGGAAGCCATTGATTCTTTGCCATTTATTTGTAAATAATAAATCAGATAAATCGTATTAAAGCAGTGAGTCTCAACCCAAGTCCTTAAGGACTCCTGTCCTGCATGTTTAGATGTTTCCCTGGTCTGACACACCTGGTTTGAATGACAGTGATTAACAATCTTCTGAAGACCTGCTGAAGAGCAGGGAAACAAGTAAAACATGCTGGATAGGGGTACTTGAGGACCAGGATTGGGAACCACTGGTTTAGGGAATGCTTTGGCAGCACATGTTCTGCGGCTACATGGTAAAGTCAATGCAAATATTTATCAGACCCACTTAGTCAACAGTTTTCATGCAGGACAATGTCCCGTCACACAGCAAGATGGGTAAAACAGTTCTTTGAAACTGAAAACATTAAAATACTGAAGTGTCCTGCCTAACTTCCTGATTTAAACCTACAGTAATTGTACCTGTCAGAATATGTTGGTCTCACTGTTTTCTGCAAAATAAAGGATTTTTCTTCTTGCAGTGTCTTTATTTTGTAAAAGCACTGCTCTAGTAGCACAGTATAGTCAGCAACACAACATCCTTCAAATGTTGATTTATAGAAGGCTACATTATGAAAAATCAAATATTCATAAACTGTTCTCCTATTGTTTGTCTCCACTGTACAATAAGAACCACATCTTATAAAGATCACTTTGAAGACAGAAAGGAGGATTTACACTGGGCTGACAGAAATATTTGATTATACCGCAGTTGGAGATCACATGCAGAGACTAAAAAGCTGCTTTTAGACTCTGTTCATGAATCTAAAAACATTTTAATATAAACACTGAGGACATGACAGGACTCTACAGAAGCAAAAAGATGCATGTTAGGTTGCCTTCAGGTCCCAGATTTACCTGTAAAACAAGCTATGATTTCAGTGATTTTTGTCTGGTTAAATAAAATTAAAATAAGTAGCTCCAACAAGCATTCTTATGTTTCCCAAATATGTAGGAGTATTTGGTAGATCAGTGACTGCATAGTTAACCTGGGAGAAATGGGTTCAAAGCTCAAACTTTGTGGAAAAAGGTGAAGGAAAGTGGATATTTGGGGATTACTGGGCTGAACTCTAGTCTACAAACACATACCATATTTATTCATGTATAATACAATCTCATGTATAATACAAATATAATCTGATCTAGACATGATAAATGAATCATTTATTCATGTATAATACAATCTCATGTATAATACAAATATAATCTGATCTAGACATGATAAATGAATCATTTATTCATGTATAATACAATCTCATGTATAATACAAATATAATCTGATCTAGACATGATAAATGAATCATTTATTCAT